CACTGATAGACAGCCAAAGGCCTGTCTTCAGTCTAACACCAAATAACAGGCTCCTGTCTGTATCTAAAATTGTAATGGACACGCTGTCCCATGGAAACAAACCTTGCTTTCTACATCATGTGACTTCAAGGGTTCGCAGCTCAACGGAGAGTCATGGGATTGGCTCGATGACTAGAAATACATTTGTTATGTCCCGTTAAACTGGACGTTGTCTCAAACCGCATAATGATCATTTTCATTTCATGAAACGTAACTGAATCACGATGAAGACCAGAGTGTATCAAGGCAGAGATAAGACCGAGACTTTGACGGGGTGGGAACGAGGCGAGACCAAGATCCGATCACGCTGCATGACACGCTTATGATAAACTGTGGGAAATGTGCAAACCATAGGCACTCCTCAAATATATCTGAAAGATCCATATTCCCATGAAAAAACGAATTATTTCATTGCTATGTGTACTGCATATGTGTGTATGTATAAGTGTACCATGAGAAATGTCTCGATAAATGAATCATAAAGTATTGCAGAGGGGAATCGTGCGTGTGGTGTGCTTCACCCTGATCGGTGTCACGTCTCCCGTTATCCTTCCCTTCTCTCCAGAGTATTAATAGTGTGTGTTTTCTTCTTCTCTGGTCGTCTTTGTACCACGCAACGATGGCAAGCGCTCCAGCGTTTTTCCCGCCTCGTGCTTTGTGTTGCTGGTTGATTTCCTGTCTTCAGTCTTTTGGATTTACGTGTTACCTTCTACCTGACTGTCATTACCTGCCTGCCTTTGGACTCTCAAGCCTCTAAGTCAATTAGCAATATATCAATGAATTCCTCCTTCTGCCTCCTCATCTATTTACCTGCCTTTGGGTCCTTCCCCCTGCTGCCTGCACTCCTAATCGTGACACACTTTCTCATTAGTCATTTGATGGATTGTTCTTATAAAATAGTGATGAGTGCAGCTTTAAATAGACATGGAGTGTACTTAAAAACAATATAAATACAACCAGCGGGGGCACAAGATTTTAAACTTTGAAACAGTTAAACTATTAGATCATACAAGATTAAAAGCTATGTGGCCAGAACATCGTATCTCAGGTAAGACAGTTTTTGTGAGTTATTCAAAAGTTAATGAATTAATTTAACTAGGGAAAAAGTCTCACTGAGATTACATATTTTATTTTGTATATTTTTTTAAGAAATGGTTTGGTCAAAAACCAAATCACATTTTTATGATACAACAGGTGTCTCATCAACAAAAATGGTGTCTTTGACACAGTTTCACCTTTAGACCTTTAAGCTACTTCCAATACAGTTTACATTGATTCATTTATATTTTTTATGCGGCAGCTGTCAACCCAATAGGAAGTTTTCAAAAAAGTGATTAAAAGTATGCTTCATTTGTGAAAGCTGATTTATATTTTCATACTGACAAAATGAGTTGAAATTTTAATTTAAAGCAATCAAACAAGGTAAGATGTCGGTAATGCAGTTGTTTTCCCTCATTAAATGGAATTATCCAAAGTAAAAGTACTCATTTTCAAGAAGAGTTTAGTTTTCAAACTTGCATCTTGTGGAAAATAAAAACAAATCTAGTAAAGAATCTAGTGTATTTTGAGAAAGAGCACTTCAACCAAACGTTTGAGTCCAGTCTGGTACAGCAACACATGGTCTCATGGAATTCAGATATCCTGGAGGACCGTGTGGTCTGATGCAAACAGAAGCGGTATCTGATAAAACTCCAAACTTTGACGTACTGCCTGTAGTATGTCATTAGTTTTTTAACCTTTATCGAAAGGCTAATTGTGCAAGTTTTTTTTTACATTGGTCAGCAGCCTGATGGGACACCCTCATCTCTCCCAGACACATTATACTCACTTTTAAAACAAGTATTTCTATTCTTAAGAGTGACTTTTTTTTCTTTCTGCAGTCCAAGCATGGCTGTAAAAAGATTCACCCCTGGTTCATTATTTATACATTACTTGTGCAAACACTCGCTCATGCTTCAGGAGGTAGACCGAGACGTGTGTTTGATGGTTGACACGCTTCACTTTGTGCAGAGCAATGCAAACCTCATTAGCAGATCAGCTAAGCGCCGATATAAAACATCTTTTGGAAGCGTGTGTCCTGTCAGATGGTGCGTGTTAATTTCAAGGATATATCCCTCTTTTGGAGACGGTGGTAAAGAACATCAACGCTCCTGAAGCAGAAACTAAATGTGAAGAGTTCAAAACAGTCTACAAAATTAGAGGATTTGTGACAAACCTGCATCCACAAACAAGGGGACTCTTCAGTGAAGAGGAAAAAGCTGACTCAGCTTGTGTCTACCTGCATCCTGACGGAGAACTTTCTCAGGCTATTTTTTTAGCGAGTTGTGTTTAGAAGTTTGGCAGATAATAACTGTGTTATTGATATAAACCAGGTATGACCTGGTTTGGTGTTTGTCTATGTCAGCAGTGTTTACCCAACACTGAGGAAGTTTGACTTGTGTAAGTCACGCTATTCTGTGCATGCAATGAACTCTTGATGCCATGTGGGCCACAGTCTCAACACCCACAACTTCAATCACCTTCCAGCATCTCTCCACGAAGCTCATATCTCTACTGTTCTACAGTATATGTATTCAGGTTCCCTCATGCTTCAGTTGATTCTCATTATATCACCATGTGATGTATGGCTGTGCGTGTCCTTATGCATTCATCTTGCGTGCTGCATGGGGTGAGCTGAGAGCAGCAGAACTGGCATGACCCCCTCCCCCCCTCCTCCATCGTGAAGACTCCCTCGCTGTGTCTATGCTGAAAGGGAAGGAAAAAAAAGCATGTCCCTGTTTAAACTTCCCTTTTCAAATCGATGACAGCCCTTCAGGCGCATACACGACGATAAGAGGGTCAGTCAATCAGTGATGTGTCACCAGAGAGCTTATTGAAAATGACAGTGGTGACCTGAGATTGACTGATAACCCCAAAATTCAGCTAGCAGGATGAACCTTTTATTCTCTGCAGAAAACATCTGTCTTGACAGCAGAGTATTTTTTTTGTCAGCCTGGATGCCAAGGATACTTACATCATGTAACAACTATTCATAATGCACATCCTTCATAGAATATTCGATGGAACAGGGCCAGACATTAACCACAGCCAAAGTAAATCACACACAACAACAACACTGTTAACTGAACGACAATCGGAAAGCAGTCAAACTTCCACAGTGTCGGGGAAAAGCAACACAGACAAAACACCAAACCAGGTCATGATCCAAATCTCTAGTCAGTAAAATAGAGCCATCTTTTAGTGATTCCATTGGAATGTTGCTGTGGACATGCAGCAATTATGGGATCATCTCCTCAGAGTGAGTGTTAAGGGATCAAGTTTTCAGCTGGCTTAGTTCCCTGTGAGGATGCAGGAGACACAAATAGACACAAAAGCAGCTTCTCCTCTTCCCTGACGAGTGCCCTTTGTATGTGGATGCAGGTTTCACATAAATTCTCTAATTTCATGGACTGGAACTTTTCAGGTTTAGTGTGCATCAGTTGTGCAGAGGTGTGAAGACGCTCAGAAGCTGAGCGGAGGGCAGGGTTATTTTACTGTAAATGGACCAGAATTTACTAAATGAACATCATGCTGTACTGAAGAAGACTTGAAACTAGAGACTGAGACCATAAACTCATGTTCACAATGTTTACTGAGGTAATAAATCAAGTGAAAAGTAGAGTCATTTTCTCATAGACTTCTATACAACCTCACTTCTTTTTTTTGCGACCAGAGGAGTCGCCCCCTGATGGCCATTAGAAAGAATGCATGTTTTAAGGCACTTCCACTTTGGTTTCTCTTTTCAAACCTGGAGGTTGTCGCCTGGTCTGGAGTCAGCTCCCGCTTGTCGGGGCTGGGGCCGTTAGCGGGAACATACAGCCGTCTTGTAGCTCGCTTTGGATCAATATCATCTGTCACTCACCAGTGCTTTGGTTGAAAGGGTGTGCGGGAGGATGAACTGGTAAACTCTTAAAAAAATCCCCAATCATTTTTCTCTAACATTCTGAAAACACTTCTGGGAACAGATGACGTGCCGATAAAAGCTGTATTTGCCACAAACACTGAGTCTCCTGGGCATACACTTCATCCAAAATACACAAAATTGAAAAAAAGAGAGTTGTAACTCTTTCACTATAAACTGCTTGTGTTACAACACCTGGCCGTAGGGGGTGCTGCCGCCCACTCAGCACCTGGAGGTTGCTTCCCCCGTCCATGTCAACAGGGGATCCACAGCAATCATCACATTGCTCTCTATTCCTAATCACATGTAGCAGCATCTGAATTCCTGCTTGTGTGTGTGTGTGTGTGTGTGTGTGTGCACATATATGTATAAAGGGAAGGAACAAAGATTGCAGAGATAATGAGAGGTGCCTCTCACCGCCGACTCACCTCACGCTTTCATTCTGATGCATTTATAATGTCACAGCTCCTTATAGGTAACATAAAAGAAATATTTGATCAAAAAGGATTTCTTTTTCCTAACGAGCATGTTTGCTTTGTTCGGCTCTTTGTGAGAGATCCTCCGGACATGATCCACGTTTTTTTGTGCACTGTGAAATCTATGGCCTTTTTCTGGCGTTTATGGGTTACTTTTTTTTGCATGTTTCTTGTCTGAAAGTGGGTTGATTAATCAGTCGCAGGGACACATTACTCTGCTGTAGATTACTATGAGAGATCACTTTAGCCTGAATGGGCCTGATTATGTAAGTGAAGGAGTCAGAGGAGGCAAGTCTGAAAGAAAAATCAATCAACAATCACGTGAGGATAAATACTGCCTGTAAACCATGGAGCAGGTGTGACGTCATCAGGTGTTGGGGCAAATCACTTGACAGTGAAACAGAGGTTTTGCAATTGAAAGTGTATCTTATTAAAATAAAAAAACAACAGCAACAATAAAATAGAAATAAAAAAACAACTCAACGAAATGGTCAAAGGAAGATCTTCAATGATGTTCGCTCCACAAGTCAACAGCAACAATCATCCAAGTGAGATCTGATGTTTATTAAAAACATTTGTTCAGTTACATCGTTTCAACATATTACATCGTTTGGCAATCGATCATGGAGGAAGGCGTCCCCGCTAACGTGGACCCGCTTCCGGTGTCAGAAACATCAGTGTCGGTTTTCTGGCTTCGCCTTTTAAAATCCGAACTTCACAGAAACACCAGAGCGAGACATTAGCCCGAACGCACGCACGCGCGCGCACACTCACACACACGCGCACCCACACCCACACACACAAACACATTCACACACGCCAGTATTGTAGAAAAATAGAGTGATTATTAATTGAATCCAGCTTCACCTGATTCAAGACTTCTGCATACAAAAACAAACAAACAATCGCGAGCACTCAATTAAGGTCAAGACAAGCGCAACATACCAGCCTACAGCCTGCAGTTATAGGCTTGAACGTAACTTTAGGCTATTTTTCAAAGAGTCCTGAATATCTTTACGCAAGAAAAACAACATCATGTGCCTTGTGTGAACATCTGATAGCAGCATCGGAATATTTTTGTCACTGTGAGTTGGACACTTAAGCGGAACGGGCAGAGCAGCGGACAGTTCAGCATCTTTCACTACACATGGAGCACCGCTGTTCGGGAATGCGCCAGCTCGCTCCTGTATTGCTCCAGCCAGTTTCGAAGCTCGGAAATCCGGTACCCCTCCGGACCTCTGCCCCCCTGGTACACCACTCTCTCGTCCCTCACGATGTAAAGTCTCTCAAAGTAGGCTCCGTACGCGGCGTTGGACGAGTTGTCCATATTATCCACCACCACGTTGCTGCCGGGCACCTCGGCGAGCATCAGCCGGGCGGCTCTGAGTCTGTCCTCCAAGCAGCGGTGCTTGGGGATCTGATACGGCGCGTCCGAGCTCACCCAGCCGTCCGACGGATGCGCCTCCTCGATATATACAACTAAAAAGTCCGCAATGTCCGCGTACTGGCTCACGACGCGCTGAAACGCCGCCAGGCGCGTCATGAATGGCGGTCAGGAGCAGCTGCCAAAGTTAAGGATGAGCGGTCTCTTCCCTTTCATGCAGTCCAGGATCTGGACCTGCCGCCGCTCCTGGACCAGCATCACCTCGGTGTTGGGCGCTGCGCGCCCGAGGTGCGCCGATTTGAGAAAGTCCAATTTCTGCCCGTACCACACGGCCCTGAGGGACTCCAAGGTGAACATCTTATTGGAGTCAGAGACGCACACCGGCGGGTCATCTGGGCTGTCCTGCCTCTCTCCCATTTTCAGCAGCACCTTTTTCCTAATACACAAGAAATCCAGGAGCCACATCATGACGGCGGCCAGGAGGAACCGGGGCAGCAGCATCAGGCACAGGGCTGTATGCTTCAGCGCCCTCGCCGTTTTGACACCGCCAGAGTCGTGCATCATCTCCTTCCCCTTGCCGATAGGATGCGACTGGGCCGGCGAGAGAGACAACAAGTACTTAGTCCCCTTTACCCATTGGAGAAAACTATCTGACGCACGCAGGCACTCTTTTTATAGGTACAGCAGAATTTGAATAATGGGGGGGTAAAAATAAAGAAAAAAGAAAAACACGCCTCCGGTACCCGCACCGCCCACTCACATGGTGGGGATTACCTCGCGTCCACTCTGGGTTTCAAAGCCCAGGGAGAGAGAGAGAGAGGGGGAGAGAGAGGGAGAGAGAGGGGTGCTCTGAACACCCTGAGACGCGGTGTCTTCACTATACACGCGACAGATAAAACATGACAGCGGATGGGTGTTTTTTGATGCCATGGTGAGACACTTGGATTAGTTTTAATTGGCCGTCGGTCGGTCGTTAAAAGTCAGGGAAAAAAACAAAACATTTAGTCTTCGCTTCATTCCGCCTGTGGACTCAGGTCTCTCTGTAATGAGTGTAGGAGCCTCTGTGGCCACTAGACGGCGCTGGACTCACGCGCACTGCGAGGGCTGTGTAGCGATGACTCATTCACCGATCTGCCAGGGCCCCTGAACACCTTGGGGGGAATAGAAGGCAGTATAAACCTGCTACCACCGGTTTCAAAAGATATTCAGTATATTTAAGTTCTCTTATCACCATCTTTGTAAAGCAATTAACCCATTGTCTGTAGTGCATTTCATGTCCTTCCCACCACCCTGTTTATATTTCACTATCCATGTGGCATTGAATATGCCGCTTATTGTTATTGTCATCTTAGACTGTTATATTTGCTGCACAGCAATATCTTATCAGCACCCCTCTGACAAAATCTCAACAAAAATGAGCATTATTTCTACATACATGGAAGGACTGCTGCATTGGATTAAATTTGATTGTGCAGGTGTCCAATCTAAGTGACCCAAATTAAGGTTTTGGAAGAACCAAGACCATTTTCTGGTACGTTTCAATTGCTAAATTGAATTAAAGAGTCTGAGATCTCTCCTAATTTAAGATCATTGTCGACTCTGTGGTAAATGCATTAAATGTCTCTGTCCAAAGCTCATTTTTATCCTTATTTAGTGTTTTGTATGTATTGTTTTATTTCATACAGATACAGATTTTCTTGAATTTGAGGGGGACACATCTGGTGAATTAAAAAGAAAGTGATGTGAATGTCAGTTAGACGTGAGAGTGTCAATCATGTGATAACTAACTAATGCCTTATCCTTTCGTGTACGTGGTGAGATTCATCATGAACAGCCATCACTCACTCAGGAGAGTTGAAACAAGGCTTTAGATGATAATTCCAATGTGGATATAAAAACACTGAACTAAAAGTGTTAAGACTTGCGACCACCAAAGTCAGACAGGGCAAGAAAACACAAGTGGTATGTCAATTAAGCAGGTTGTTTAATCATGTTTTCTACCACTTCATTTGGAGGAGAAACTGAAAATCAGTGCACCCTGAAAGTCTGTTTGAATCCTTTACTTCATATTCAACAGCGGAAAGCTCACAGTTGAACCAGGAGGTCGGTCTGTAAACTATTTTGCAACAAACGTTGCTTTCTCTTCCACATAAATTTGTCTCACCCCGAGGGTTTGTTTAGAACCTGTCTGATCGTCCGACTCGCCCGGCTTGACGTCTTTTTAGTGATGTCACGGTGATCTCCGGGTGAGTGCAATGGAACAGACGCAGAACCAACAGCCGAACCCAAGAAGATACGATTCAAGTTCTGATGAAGTGAAATTACAAACGGAAGCCTTTTTTTTTTTTTTTTTTTTTTTTTTTTTTTACGGAGAACTCTAGAGACAGCAGCAGAAAACCTAGTGAGAAAATGGCCGTCACAACCCAGATGTGCAACAGCTACACACGTGACCTCTCAGCTTCTTTTACACACACATCTGCGAGTGTGAAGTTGCGCCATCCACCCCGAAAGACCATTTACTGGCCCACTTAAAAAGAGATGTGTAATCAGAATGTTAGCTACATGTGTTTCACACTTTAAAAGCTGTGATGTCGTTTGTTTTTTTACCACCTGCTTTGGATTTCGAAAGCAAACTTTGTGTACCATGCTTTTACTTTGGGTCTTTGTTTTATAATGTCTTGGCTTGTCATTATACAAACTTGTTTCTCCTTTGTGTCAGAGTGTGAGTCTGTTTAGAAACCAGCCCATTGGATGTGCCTCTAAACGTTAAAAAAAAATAAGAAAGTGGTAATGTAATCAAAAGGGCACTCTCCTGAATGAAATACATTCGATTTTCTTCATTATGTCATTAATTAGTCACAGCCCAAGTGGTCTAACTGTTGTCCTGTGACAGGGTGGAACAAAAACAACTCTGACGTCTGAAAACAAGAACTTTGTGACCGAGCTTGCGAAGAAAAAGCTTTCTCGCAGGTCTCACGTGCATTTCACATTGTGCAATCTAAAACAGCATTTGATGAAAGGTCGGGGAAAAAATATGGACAACCAAAAACAGTTTCTATTGAAATGGATGTGACTCAGATGCTAATGTGTGAAAGATGGCTCCCTCAGGCACCAAAGACACAGCTGATGACACACTGTTTTGTCTCCCCTGTCATTCTTCCTCTAACATGGAAACATTTCATCTTGGTCTTAACATGACCCGCCATTATAATACGAAGCACATTGTGTGTAAATGAATGATGGTGGTGATCTAACTGCTGTCAGTCTTTGCTATTTATCATAGACTGAATGGACACAATGTGTTTTCTCAGAGATGATGCAATGTGTACACATGGAATTGCAAAAGTACTGAAAGAAAAAGTAAGTTTACAGATTACAAGGAACAGTTTCTTTTCTGATGTAATATTATACTGCTGATGTAACTTGCCTTTAAGGTCATTGAAATGCTGCCAAAGGTGTTTACCGTAAAAGTAAGAAACGCCACCCATCAAGTACAGAGAGCGGCTGATGTTTGCCTGTAATACAAAAACCACTTAGCGCTCTTTAATCAGGGGTTCCCGTCAATTTGTTTTTCTCCAAACCAAGTCTGTTGAACTGCCGCTGTGATCTGGATTAGACCACTGGCGTCTTTTGGTTGTTTACACCGAGGCTGAAGGAAGAAAAGAGCTTGTCTGCTGGCTTGAGGAGAACTCCTGGCCAGTGTCGGTTACTTGGGTCGAATCAGATTTTCCCAGAATTATTAGGACCTCTCATAGATCATCCTCGTGTGACCCGCGCACCAAGAGGTCACCACAGAAATACGTCGCCTAAGCTTCTGAAGCTCATTAACTCAAGCAAAGAGTCTCAACATACAAACACTCAAGACATACTGTAGGTCCCTCGAATCATGGGCCTCTTCCTCACACACACTCACAGACACACACACACACACACACACACACACACACACACTTTGACACTTAAATGCGATAGGATGAATAAGACACTGGCCTACCTATCCTAGATTATGCTGGCACCCTTAAGTGCTTCATCCTCCACTCTCACACCAGTCACCTTAACATTTGGGGAACCACTCAGTCAGTTTAATCGGTTTTAGTTTTTTTCCAATATAAATTCAACATAACAAATAGAACAAATAAACCATAAAAAATGCAATACCAAAAGCAAAGATAAACATGTATTATTGTTTGCGTCTCATTAGGGGTTTTCTGATCACTGTTACCACATTATTTCCTAGAATAAGCAAAGTATTGAAAGTCTGTTTTGCCTAGAAAACCTCATGAAAGCCATTTTCATTGTGTAAATACCTCTTTCTCTTTTAACTTCCTAGTCTGCCACCACAATCCCACAGCTACTGCTATCTTTCACATTCTCAACCGCCAGCTTGACAAGTATGGCAAACACTGGCAGCCTGAGCCTTGATTCTGTTTAGTTTTTTTCTCTCAAAGAATTTTTTTTCGAAAACAAACTGCTGGAATCTTACTTTCATTAGACACAGCCTGGATCTTGGCATGGGAGCGCGGGTCATACAAGGACATCCCAGAATAGGAAAAACAGCCCGGACAGAGCCTGCAGCAAAGCACCAGGAGTGGTGGGGATCCAGCCACTATTAAAACCCTGGCCACTGGAGTCATTGAATACACACATCTCAGGTAGAACACACACACACACACACACACACACACACATCTTTGTGAGGACACTCATGGGCATAATGCATTCCCTTGCCCCTAAACCTTAACCATCACAACTAAAGGCCTGACCCCTAACCTTTACCCTAGCCCGAACCCAATTATAACCCAAAGCTTAAAACCAAGTCGGCACCCTACAAAATGGCTTTGAAGAAGTAAGGACCGTCAAAAATGTTGCCACTTCCCAGAAATGTCCTTCTCACAACGGAGGCGATATATAGCCCATTTCAGACTGCAGTTTGAGTGTCTGCTGACTGACTGCTGTCATGAATGTTTTCACACAGAACACAAATATTACACGGCGAAAAAGTGTCAAAAAATGTTTCGGACCAAGGTTGATTTTTTGGAGCTTTTGGATGTGAATAAAGGCATCAACCAGTCACGTCGTGCCGAACGGACATAGTCGAGATGTACACTATAGAATCTTTTGTTGAGAAAGTGTTACAACTGTCGCAAATACGCATTGATGCCGATATGAATCGTTTTGATGCAAAATATTCGCAGCCGAGTATTTTGCATTTTCGTATCCTTTCTTCTTCCCGTTGTGTTTCAAAAATCTTGGTCATCACAAATATACAAGTACAAGTAAACACACATAGACATATGGTTCCTTAGGCCTGGGGACACACACGCACGCACACACACACACACACACACACACACACACACACACACACACACACAGTTTTAGGGCTGTTTGTATTGACATAGTCTCAATTTGTGTATGTCACCTACTGTATAATGTCGTATGTCGTTTAAGGTTAGGTAAGGTTGCAATAAAAAGCACTTTTGACTATTCAGGGTCAAAATACAGCCCTGTCCCTTATGTTCAGCAAGCATTTGAGCAGGTTTGTAGTTACTAAGCAACCATGATGTCCCTCTCAGGCTAATCCATCCAGGCCGCTGTGGCTGCATGGAGCCTTCGATGCACACTGATACATCACCTTGGTTCACCAGTGTCCTTTGTCCACAAGAGCAGCACTGATACACCAAACTGCACGACTTCAGAGAGGCTGGCTTTATTTCTTTATCGCATCACACAGCCTGGTCATTTAGCCCTGAGAAAATAACTAATCTGTTGTGTTGATAAAGAGACAGCGCCGGGAAGATAGGTATACGTTTTACACCGTGTCCCTCGCTGCGCTTGTTCAGTCTGCTCACAAATGAGTCCCGCTGCCTCTTTTGACTTTCCAGCTAGAAACACCATCAAAGCTAAGTAGATAAAGCGGGGACAAAGTGTGTCAGATGAGGTCTGATATGATAATGCTGTGAAAGTGAGAGACTATTCTCAAATGTCACAGCACAGAGATTTCCTGTAAGGCAACTAATGTGATTTTGATTTGGACAGGAATTTCCCAATTTCCCAAGACAGTCTTTAGTGTGTTGAGATTGCTTCTCATTAGGGCATGATGGACAGGTCTTCCTGGGACATTTATATTCATACACTCCATGTGCTGTTGTTTGTCTCCATGGTACATTGTCCAGCAAAGGCAAACGTAAAGGAACAACCTTAGGTATGTGATATATCGAGATAGATATGTGCTGTGTATTAGTTCCAGCATGAGTGGCCTTGCCCTATTAATTTAGCCCACATACTGTACATGTTATGCCATACTAGACACATAAGCCGTGTTCCCATTCACACATTTCATCACCTTAGAAAAGTTGTATGATAGATACGATTTTTTAGCTTGAGGTCATTGTTGCATTTGTCGAAAAAGAATTGCTCTGCTAAATGAAGTATGGAAACGCCTTTAACGAATAAATTCTGTCGTAGCGAACATTTAACCTACATGACTTATCGCTTGTTTGTTCTGTTGGCGTATTCTTAGATGTTCCCATAAAGAGCAAATGCTTGTCCTCGTCTCCCGACAGCGTGAAACATGGCCAATAGTAGCTGACGTGAAAGAACAATTGAAACTTTTCTTTCTCCATTTTTCTCTCATAGATGGGTTAGACAGCCAGGCCGACTTGTTTAGTTTCCCGTCCACAACTTCTACTTATTCTACTCTGTTTACTGACGGAGTACACACATGCAAGCCAATAACAACTTCTCACGAAACTGCACTGTAGCTGAGTTTACTCGCTCCAAAGAAGTATATGGAAACGTGCCGAATCCAAATAAATTTGTTGACGTTTCACAAAAGACAACTCCATAGAAAACACGTCTATTGACACCCTGAAAGCACATACATTTTGAAGGAATTGTTAGACATTTTGCGAAATACATTTTTCGAGAGTTAGATAAGAAGATCCGTACCACTCTGGTGTCTGTACGGTAAATATGAAGCTACAGCTAGCAGCAGATTAGCTTAGCTTAGCTTAGCATAAAGACTGGAAATAGGGAAACAGCTAGTCTCTGTAGAACAGGCTCTGTCCAGAGGTTACAAAATCTCCCTACCAGAACCTCCAAAGGTCACTAATGAACAAGTTACGTATATCTTGTGTTACATCTGCAGACAGAAAACCAGAAGGACTGTACAGACTTGAGAGTGGTAGTCTATCAATGTTCTCACGTAACCTGGCAAGAAAACGTATGTCCTCATATGTCCAACTACTCCCAATGTATAAACAACATATGGCTATTGTATGTGATTATTTTTTTACATATGAATAAGCGAAATGCAAATATGTTTATTGGACAAACTGAAAAATATGTACTCTCTTTAAAGTTTTCCATCTATGGGCTTTTCCTGTCAAGGGAGCTGATTTATAGGTCCGTCTTAATTATTTTACTACTTCTGGGACTACGCTGGACACAGTGTTGAGGACATCATAATTCGTATATGGCGTTGTAACACATCCACATATTTTGGGGATTTGCCAGCTTCAGGAGCCTCACTTATCAAAACACATGCTATTTAGAAAAAGGAACTATATTTCTGTGCAGTCCAAGTGAATGGTGAGCCTGTGTGTTTAAACGTCGTTAGATTGAAATATGAAATCTTTTTATCTGAGATAAAAAGATTGGTTCGCTTCAACCTTATGCAGAAACTGAATGTATATGATCATGTACGACCAAGGCTGCATATTCCTCTAAATTTGTTCGAAATTTGTTCCAATTTGAGCCATGACTCTTCAAAAAGTCCGTGCTAGTCCTTGCTTATCTGTGTCGAGCCCACCCAGCATCAGCTCAACCTACAGCAGTCTACTACTATCTGTCAGGCAACTTACAACAACATGTAATGGAACATCTGAAAACCCTAACCTGTCAATTAACAACAAGCAAGTTCAAAAACCTTTGCACTTTAAAAGCTGATATGGCTTTCTTTAAGGAGTAGAGCTGAGCCAAGAGACCACTTTTCTGTTTCCTGTTGTTTACACACATGACCTGCCGGTTTACGCGACTGACGGGTCATGGACTGTCCAAAACTGTTAAATGTTAACAATGCAGAGAGGACTAGGTAGTAATATAGCCTATCAAAGCAAAACCAAAATCTAATTCTGCTACAACTACTATGTGGGGCACCAAATACACAGCTAAAAATGCTACATTTCCTTCAGTTTGAGTCACATTAAAAAAAAAGTTATATTATATATTTGTGATGTGTTTTTAAAGCTTAACTCTTCAGAGAGACAATGGGGAATGTGGGAAAGATTGAGAGACTGTTTAATGCTCATCTTTGTTGATATAAAATGCCACAGCCATATCCTTTATGGCATGGGTGGAGCAGTCAGTAGGCTAATCCTGTTTCTTAATTAAAAAACAACATACACAAGAGAAAATGCTGAGGCAAAGCCACAAAGAATCGGCAGGCGTCATTGATTAAAAGCCCAGTCACTCCAGTATCTAAAAAAGCAAAATTAACGGCGAAATAAATTAATTTCTATACATATATATATATACGTATATTAATATAATGCTTAAGAGGAAAGCGTGTCTAATCACATGGGATAACGTGCTGCATTTCAATTTGATGTGCTTTTCAATGTGTTTTTTTTAGTTGTCTTCTAGATTGATTTGGCTTGTACAGTACAAGGGATTCTTGATTTGTCCTCCCCACCAATTGTGAACAAGAGCTTGTTTAGTCTGAACATATGTTTAGTGTTTGAGGCCAGTCTGTGTCTTAGCAACACCTACAATTATTAACCTGAAAGAAAACTGTTTCACAACTTTGTTCTCTTCAGTGTTTGTGTTTCACCAGCTAGAATATCTGACATATTATGTAAATTAATAGAAGGGCCTCTTTTTACCGCCACGGTTGAGGACGTATTATCATAGAGCACATTCACGAGTCAAAATTTTACTTGTCACACGCTCGTACAATATGTGCGGTAAAATACAGGGTGGCATACTGTTGAGGCCGCGCTAAAAATATATTAGTGGGAGTGCAATAAAATGATATCAATTAGAATAAAAGTAGAGACCTAAAGGATCAAATTCCAATAATACAAAAATATAAATATGTATGTCATTAAAGTTTTGGCCCAGTGTGTGTGGTGGGCTATTTTTGCAGTATGTACTTATGTCACAGCTGTAAGGCCAAAACAAGCATGGTTTAAAGTAAAGAATTGGTAATATTTTATGGCTGTTGTTCCATCTTTGTTATTCTATAATATTATACCACCGACATGATGGAAAATACAGTAATGCTGTTCTAATGATGCACGTGCACGATGAAAAAGACAACGCTCAAGAAGTCAGTAACAAAACAATATGTTGATTCCACTGCTAAAAATGCTAAAAATTACCATTTGAACACACTTTTCCTGAACAATTTATTGGTAATTATTGATAATTACCACTTAAAATGTTTGGACTGATGTTATGTTTGTTGCAAAGTTATGATTTATGTAATAATTTGTTCTAGTGTGACCCTTCTTTTCCATTACTCATCCCTCCTTTTGTTAAATTCATTTTCTTTTCAGCAAGAAATTGGATTTCACCTCTGTTTTCTATTTTCAAAGACACTTCCTGCGCTTTCTTTTCTTTTTGAAGTTGGTCTCTCCAGTGCATATACTATTTGCTTTATTACATCAGCAGTTTGCTCAGCTGCGCTTTAAGGAACACAATATACTATTTTGTTCATATTGTGCTGAAGCAAAGCATGCTCGCTTAAGGTGCCAAATTACATAAAACAGTCTCTTCTTGATTTCAATTGTTTTCATCAGAAAATCTGAAAATTTGCATGCGTTTTGTGTGATTATCTTGTGCTTCAGATCGTCATGGGGCATCTCTGACAGGCTGCTGCCCCTTTAGATGTTCAGTGCCTTCATGAAATATGAAGAGGAGGGCTGAATGCTGAACAGCTTCAGTTACCACATCGAGCCAGAGGGTGTTTATACTGCAGTTACTATGGAGATATACCTCTCCACTCTCTGTTATGTAACAAAGTTTTAAAATTCATTTTTCTGAGGATGAAAGAACAGTGAGCCTCAACCCCATAGAAAGAGAGGGAGAGAGAGAGGGAGAGAGAGAGGGAGAGAGAGGGAGAACAAAAGTGTAGCCATGTTTTTGTATTCTAATTACTTGCTTTCAAGAACATTAATTATTATTATTTTTTTCCTTCCATCTCACACACACACACACACACACACACACACACACACACACACACACACACACACATATATACACACACTGACTATATGATGTTTGCTAGCTTTTATCCCACTGTTCTTGTCATCCTCTCGTTGTTATGTCAATGTATTGTCTAATATTGTCTCTTGTCTTTCAATAAAAAATTATTAAAAAAAAAAAAAAAAAAAAAAAAAGAACATTAACACCATACAGTATGTGTATATATTTAGGTTTCTCTGCAACACGCTGGTGTTCTTGGCTGTGCAATCGCATCCTCTTAGATTCAAAGTGCCATGAATAAGCAGCACAAGCAGCATGTGTGTCATTTGTTTTTGCGTTTGGAACATACTGAATGGATGACCAACAGGAAAGAAAGGATTATGTAGCAGGAGGGGTTCAAGAAGGTTTCTATGGACAGTGTCCAATGAGCATTCTGCAAACCTTTCCGAGCCATCTTCGAAGCCGACAGGATATTGATATTCTTCTTTAAAAGCCCCTGCAGACGGGAAATAAATGGAAGCACGAGAGAGGGAGGATGACATGCAACAAAGGCGTCAGAGCAAGATTCTAACCAGGGACGTCACAGTTATGTGGTCTCCATCTTAGACCCCCGAGCGGCTGTGATCACACCATCTGCCTACCCTCCACTGATTTAATCAATGTGACGTCATCTCTCTTTGCAAATAAGATCAATGGTTCAACAGCAGAGCGGCCTGAATCTCTCAGTATAGTATTACGGTTAATTACAGAGGCAAGTGAGTTAGATTAGAGTCCACGTCATTTGATGGTTAAAAACTCCACAGGGTATCTTTAAGGCACTCGTATGCAGGTATATATCCATTGAAAAAAAAAATCTATGAGTGATATGCTCAACGTGTTCTACTTTTTTCCGTGTTTGACAATATGTTGGAGGTTCACCCAAATCCGTATTTGCTGTATTTTCATCAACCCATGTTGGCTACCCACTACAATCTCACTGCTGCAGGCTGGTGCTCTGAATTGTTTTCACAGATAACGTGACGCACATTATCACATTTTCAAGAATGTCTGCTGAGGGCAACGCCTCATTGAAAAGCTACTGAGCAGCTGTTATAAAGAGAAAGAGATGAAGGATTACTCATAAGTGTTCCAGGGAATAAATGATTGATTCATGTTTGTTTCAGTGAAATTCCGACGAGAAAAAAAAAGAAAGAGCTTTCATTCAGTTTCTTATTCTCCATCTTTGTTTCCCTTTCACCATCACTGGGTTTGATTGCGCAGGAGGACCGGGGTCACACGAAATCAGGGTGTCTCTGAGGAACATCGGCAGCGAACAAGACACACTTCAGGCGTGTGGACGGGATAGGGATATGGGTGGCATGACGTTAAAGGAGGGGAGCAGACGAGACTAAATGAGTCACAGAATAGATATTAGCCTTCCCCGGAGCAGACAAAGAGTTGTAGCTTTCAACCTCAGATCTTATCTGAGGGAAAAGTTCCAACCACGGTGCCAGCTGCAGTGACATGTTTTGTCTTTTTGTAGAGTGTGTTGAGAACGGGAACGTGAGGACTGCACGCACGCACACACACACACACTCCATATGCATAGCAGCATGAAGCAGCACAAGAACAAGCCTTGATTTGTAGTCATTTATGAGCATTTATTACGCTTGTCAGAGAACAGATTAATGTATCTGGCTTAGCGCATGACATTGCATAACACCGGTGTCAAATTAGCTTAGATCGATGAGAGAGGATGACTGAAGATGGCATTAACTGAATGACACCAGGAAAATGAAAGAGGCGTGGGCTGATAAATCCAGAGAGGTTAGTGAAGAGTCGGGGTCGTGGAAAAACAGAATCTCTATAGCTAGCACCAAGGTTTAAATACTTCATTCAACTTTAAAATCTGTCGGATAGCCTGAGGAAAGTAGGTCAAAAACCACTTCATGGTCAATTATTCTGGGTTTTCAGCATCAATTACTTTAAGTGACTCTTACATTTGTGTATGTTTTCGGGTCATTAATTTGGCTGAAAGTAGTTCAGTCATTACATTATAATCTTTACACTAGGGAACATGTGAGCCATGTGATGTTGTAAGTAACAACAGACTTGTCCCCTCTTGTCACACTGTTAACTGTTAATATGTAACCGTAACCCAGAAAAGACCACGCAGCTGGGACATGACCATCCGTACAAGAAAACAAAAAGATACGGGCGAGCATACAAAGCTCTGCAAAGCCAGGAATATTATCTCTAATATTGGTTTTGTTGCTTGAGTCAAGTGTGTAGCTAAATACATACAGTACAATGTGAAACTAGGCCAATATAAATAGATATTGGGAGTGGGGTTGTCACTGATTTTAAGTCTCGGAGCAGGATGCTGTTCCATGTAGTTAAGTAAAAGTTATACTACACAGTAGGGAACCAACTGCTCTACGAGATCATCACGCCGTATTCTTATCGTGTTAAAGCCTTCTTTGGGTAACTTAAACTAATTGGGGCAAGTAAGGTCAACACACTGTCAAGTTTAATACAAAACAGTCAGCAACTATAATCCTGATCAAGGCAGCAGAAATAGCTATAGACAATCCTGCCCTCCTGCCTGCTCCCCGCTATAAATACGTAATGCTGCCAGGATTAGCACCTTAGATACAGAAGGCCAGTGATCAAAAGGTCTCATTTGTAACCATCACTCTCTGAATGAAGAGGCTACATTTCCTCTTTGTAACATATGCTAAATTAAAGGGGACTGACCTACTGGATAAATATTTTAAGACAAGGATATTTTGGGGCACACATGTGCTCCTTTGTCCTCACAGGTCACCATTTTGATGGAAAGAATCTCATAGTGGCCTTGAGGTGGAGTGATAGTCTCTTCTCAGAATGGTTGGGACTTTCCATTCTCTCATGTGTACGGCTATCTTCCCATTCAATATATAGTCTGCCGGACAGAAAGCTGACTGAAAAACGTAGACGTGGCCGTAGATGGCCTCTCTAAGCGTCATATTGAGAAAGTGACAATTCGGTGTGATTGTCAGCCAGCTTTTGACAACGATAGAGCAGGGTGCCCTGGCATGACAGATTCAAGGCTTTAAGAAACCGTCTGGTCAACAAAGACATTTGGAAGATAGCTAGTTAACCCTTTGATGCGTAAAATCAAACCAATGTGATCTCCCCTTGGCTGGTCCCTGAAGCGTGCTATCAGACCGGTGTGATTCAGATTTCACGCTGGAAGGCACAAACAATGAAAAAATGTTCATGGGATTAATGCATTAATGCATAAAATGATTGATCCATTGCGGAGGACACCAACCCTAAAAAAGCTTAACATTGAGTCCTGCTATCGAGGTAGAAGGATTACTTCTTGCAAGTTCCACTAGCTAGTCAAACAAAAAGCAACATAATATATGATGGGGGTTTATGATCAGGGCGTGGTATGTTCCTGCCTTTTGGACCTTTGCCAATCATACGCCTGCCTCGTCATTCCTTTGCAGATCTTAGGCAACAAAAATGTTCATAAACCTGAAAGGAGTCCGGGTGGATGACTCTGTACTTGTGTGCTTGTGTTTGTGACTTGAATGCGAGCCGCAACAGGGAGCAAGTGAAGAGTCATGGACAGGGATGCCATTCATACACGGGGTCACGGAGTCCTGTGAAAAACACTACATTACACAATTATTAGCACTGTCTGATGACACAAGTCATTGTACATTACAATTCCTTCCTACATTCATACGCACGCCAGACTATATCAGATGGATTCATTTCAGAGGATGAGGCAATACCTGGTTCATCTGAGGTGAACCTTTTTTATCAAGGGCATAGTAAAGGCAGCCCTTTAGTGCCCTGGATTTCCCTTTTGAAATGCTGCCAACGTGTGTGTGGCATGACATGCTACATGACCTGGAATGTATCTGGTTGTGTGTACTTTTCTAACACAAACAGCTGTTGCAAGTGTTTTGATATTCCTGTGCGTAAGTGACCATATGATTTACCGAATCTCCTGATTATTTCACTTTCGAGTTCAGTCAGTGTGTGTGTGAGTGTGTGTGTGTGTGTGTGTGTGTGCATTTGTTTCTGTGCCATGTTGTCCTCTTCTGAACTTCCCCCCTATCAACAACCTCAGCGAGGACATTCTGTGTTCGTTGATGTGTCTTACGCAATCTTTATCAACCAGTAATTCAAAGTCATCTGAAGTAGCTCCCCTCACTATCTACATATCGTGTCAGCCGAGCCTGAAGTGCACTCAGTATCCCAGAGGCTGATTGGAAATGCTGTCTGACGTGAGGAGCAGAACTTCTGTCAAGTCTCTCAGCAAACATCTGAGTCATTAGCGTAACGTTATGGGAACAGACAAAAAAATCGGAGGAATCTGATGTAACATATTTTTAGGATGAAACATGCTGGTGTGTTATGAAATTTCAAAGCTTTTTTACATTTCTTTTAACGGCTTCCGAATGTCTCTAATTTGTTCATGTTTTTGTTATTTCTGCCCCTGCTCCATGTTTGCCTTTCATATCATTCATGTTTCGTATTACTTTAAAAAAAAAATGTTGTTACTCACCTCTCGTTTCAGATCACCTCACTTCCTGTGTTTGTGTGGTTCCCCCCCGATTAGTTTCACCTGTCCCTCGTTAGCCCTGCACTCACCAGACCTCCTGCTCACCTGTTCTCACTTCCCCTATCAGTCATTTGCTACATGTACCAGCCCGGTTCCTTTGTTCTTTGTCAGTGTGTCGTCGTATGTTATGTGGTGCTTAGTTGCCTGTAAACTGCCTGCTCCACTTTCTGCCTATTTGGACTTTTACCACCTGCTGACATGTTAATAAATCACTTAAGTAATCCTGCGTCTCTGAGACGGAATTTGCTGAGGCAATAAACATATGCTAGTATTTACTATTGCCGCTTGCTACTGAAATTAGCAAATTAGCAACAACTTGCTCAGCAGGAACAGAGAGGAAGACACTCCTTGTTTCCATTGAAGTACGTCACCTCTGCCAGCAGAGAGGTGATTCAGTGTCATATATGTCCTGT